AATGTTGATCTCTTCATTGTTAGCCTTCTTTAAGATATTTTGAGTCCTGAGCATGCACTCCAGACCTTCATTTAGACACACCATTAGAGTAGAGTACCTTCTAATGTTACTGCTGCACACAAACATACAATACATTTGTCCATTCTTCACCTGAATGGAATGGTTTTTGTATGAAATCCTTGTGCAAATGGTTGTACATAATGTCTGAATCCTGTGGTTTCCATATCCATCTTGCAGTTTGTAAAATAGAGGCACTACTTCTTAGTTTCAAGGACTCCAGACTCATTTCATATTGACTCTGTAAACCTATTTCCACACTATGCATATACATATGCACCTTCTGAGAAGCACCTCTATGATGAGGGAATGCTTCATTTTATTGTTCGTGTTATGAGTGTGGTGGATCCCTGTGTGATACTTTAGGATGGCATGTCTCAATCAGATGTGGAATTGCTGATGCTGGGGTCAGGAGAAATTAATTCCCTTCTTGGGGGATATGAGTATTATGCTGAAGCAGTACTGAAAGCAAGTGAGAGCCTTCTCTTCAATCACATTGCATCTCCTTTTGGCATCCTTCGTTGCCTCACTGAGAATGAAGTCTACAAGACCCTTGTGAGTTGCTTATTCCTCATGTTTTGTGTCATTTGTAGCAAACCCTCCCTAATCATTGGATAAGCTTGACATCAAGCAAGTTCCTGTCACCCTTTACCTTGTGATATCTTATTTTCATCCTTTCATTGGGATCTTCCTTCACCTTTTCATGTAAATGGAAGATTCCATGATCAGTTGTACTAAGCATATGCTTGGGAATCAACTTGATTCATACAGTCATTATGTGAAATTCAATCCTAATTTTCAAATATTGAAATCTCACCAGAGCTTATCTCTTTTGTGATAAGCTGAAGTGTTAAGTCTAATATGCTTTCCTCTCTTATATTAACCTGTCCTAAAAATAGCCAGTGCCCTTGAAAAGGAATCTTCTGCAGGGTTCAATAATGATATAAAACCATGCTAAGAACAGAATATATTTATCTTGAATTAGTTAATTCTTGAATTAATTTTCTGCTGAGTGAAGTTAGGTAAAGACTTTTTGAAAATCCAGATTTTCATAGGGAAAAGAAGAAAGAGGAGAAGTATATTTGCATTTTTTTTCTATGCCACTGACCCCCAGATCTTCTGTTCTATTCCTCCCATTGTCCTGCTTGCATCCTTCCTCCTTCTCTACCCTGCTGCCATCCCCTCTGTTGTGACCAGGGTACTTTCTGAAAATGCTCCTTATCAAACTCAACTCAGCCTTGCAGTCTTGCTGCCATTCCCTATGATAACATGGTGATCCCTTTGCAGGCATATATGGAAGACTGCTGGGATGCAGAGGAGAGGCTGGTGATGCTTCTGGCCCTAAGCAACCATGTATTCACTGCCCTTCTTGATCCCACTGCCCTCTATGGCATAAAGTGGATGCGCTGTAATCACTCTGCCCAGATGCCATCCAATTGCTGTGCTCTCTCTCAAAGGCTTCTTGCTCGAATCTCTTCTGCATGGATAAACCAGTTGCTCAAGTCATACCCTCCCTGTTAGTCTCTTGTTACATTGTATTATTAGTTTGTTGAAGACTTAGGCCTAATGCATAAGAGGTTGCAGTGGAATTCAGGGGTGATCTTCAGTATAAGACTCTTCATATGCTTCAGTAATAATTAGTTTCAAGACTTCTCATAGCATTTGTCTGCTGTAGAAATACTAATTACTTTTTTCACTGCTTCATATTACTGAATATCTTTTCCTGTCCATTTATTTAAAAAAAAAAAATTATATGTGAATCTTTAAAGTCTTTGTGAAAGCATTAATAAGAAATCTCAGATTTTTCACCTTGGTCCTTCGAGATGAAACCTTTGAATATCAAAATGATCATCTTAAATTTTTTTGGTTTCTATTTTTCTTTTTCTAGCAGGTCTCCCTGTGAATCAGTATGAGAGGATTGTGAATATGTTTTTGAAGTTAAGCCATCGTCTGGTGGATGGCATCCCAGAATTAAAGGAATCTGTTCGAGTTGTCCAAGACTTGGCCTCTAGACATCTTGACTTGCTCCAAACAAAGATCAAAGATGAAGGAAAGCTGAGAGAAGTCAATGAATCTTTCAGTCTTCATTGTAATGGCAAGTCCTATTGTATGTTTTTTGTACACCTTGTGCTTCTTACATGCTTTTAACAGTTCATCAGGAGTGTTGTCTGATCCCTCAGGAAATTTTATATGATACTTTTTCTGGCTGATGATTTATTTATTGTGTGCACAAACTTGGAGAGGTGAGAATCAGGATGGCACTAATAGAGAATGTAGAACTGGTATTTATATATGTGCTCAGAATCAAACCACATAGCTCTACGGCTTTAGATTCCAACATGGAGTTATTCATCATGGCTTTTTATCCATTGAGGTGATCCAGGTCATTAGTTCTGTGGAATTTGGCTACATCAAAGAGAATGGTGAAAATATTCTTAAATTTGAGGATTTGCTATAAATATATATTGTGATATTTTGATTCTTGCCTACTTGGTGAAAGGAATGTCCCTGAATTATTATGTTAACATTGAGACTAAAAATTGACTTATAATGACCAATATTCTTGCTACGAATAAGTTGATCTAAGCAAGGTATAAGTACAATTATTTCAAGGGCGTTAGGTCAGTATTAGGCATTATTTGTTGCTATAATTGTGATCCTAATATGATATGGCCATTATTACTAAATCTGCTGTAATTATAGGTAATCTAAAGCAGAACCATGAAGTTATTGAAGTGTGGACGTATAGGTTCATGCTTGTCAGCTGGGCTGTTAGGCATAGAGCGTTTCAGGTTCAATTGTAGCCCCTTTCTGCATAATTTGGGTTTCTGTGCATACTAGTTTGTTCATGTCTTTTGCTAAGTTTTTTCCATGTAAATTGGAGTAAAGTGTCTCTCATTATTTAAGTGGTTAAGAGCCTGCTTCTTTAGTTCTTCATATGTCATGATCAATGTAAGTATTGCAATTTTCAGGTAAATTTTGTTTACTGTGAACCAAAAAGGCAGGTGACTGTAATTTGGCATGAAAATATATTTTGTTGATGGATTGCATTTTAACTCCATCCTGTATTGGCTCCAGCTTTGAGCATTTCTTTTTTTTTTCTGTATATGTGCATGGCCTATCACTTGGCCAAGATAGGAATATCCTGCAGGCTTCTGCTACTTTATGATGCCCTTATGCATCTAGTTGGCTGTGTTGTGTTGTCTTATGAATGAGAGCCCAAGGAGTGCATAAAACTGATGAGATTTCATTGGTGTGACTAAAGATAATTCAGATACCTACTTGATGGTACACTGGTGGCTTTCTGCCCTTTGATACCTTTTTGCAGTCTTGTACTTCTTCACATATATATTTATTGTTTAACCTTGCAGGACGATTGGAGGGAGGGGAGTATTTGCCAGTTCACCAGCAAGTGAGTTTCATGATGTCTTTACATGATCCAATTCAGTAGTCACATAGTGGTGTGAGTTGATCATGACCCCTTTTGCAATGTATTTGAGATCATTATAAACTCAATATTGAGCCAATATTGCTACATTTTTGTAACATTAGGCCAATGATGATCTAATATACTGTGCTACTTCAGAAGATGTGCACCTTTACTTCTTTTTGTTTTTTTGCCTCAGGAAGGCAATGATGATGCTGGTAGCAGCAGTGATGCTGAGTTTGCAGAGGAAGAAGAAGTACCTGAAATCCCCACTTTGGAACAAGTAGCCATTGGACCCACTCCTAAGAATTCTGGTATTTCTATACATTTTTTTTATGATTCTGTGGTCATCAAGGTTTTCTTTCCTATTTAGTACATATAACTATATTCTCTCTCATCTATACCACACTGGCATTAGATGGAGAGAAACTGGAACCCTGAATGGCACCTTACATTTCAAAGATTAGATGAATATGGAGCATATTAGTACTTTATTCAGTGTGCCTGTAAATGACAGAGCAAGAAACAGTGCATGATATTTGAATAGAGTATTAAGCTTATTCACTGGAAATATTTAAACTTGTGAACATTGAAATACAACTTTGTTTCTTTTCATTCCACAGAGCTTCAGGACTTGAACTCCATGGTCTTCCGGCCAGTGGAGATGAATGTGTGGAAGAGAAGAAAGGTCAAGAGGGGGAATTGTTATGCAAAATCTCAGAAGAGATTCAAGTTAGATCAGGATGATGAGCAGGAGAATGAGGAGAAACAGTTCGTAAAGAATGAGGAGCCTGAAATTTTCATCCTTGAGAATGGAGTGAAAGAGGAGTGGCCATCATTTCCATGCTTCCCTGTGAGTGAAGGTAAAAATGCATCGAGTCCACCTGCACCTATTTCATGCATTGGGAAGAATTTAAAAAAAACACTGAAACAGACATCAATGGAGAGGTACATTCCAGTCCCTATCAAGGCAAAGATACAAGGCCCAATGCTGCCTAATGGATGCATAGACAGCTTTGCTGTTCTCATGCAGAATTCCAAGAAGTTCAAGTGATATGCTTCTATGGATCTCGACTCGATCTCTTTCAGTCTCTTTTTACCTACTTTATTTGTCTTTGCATGAAGAGTAGCCAAGAATATTGTCCTCCTAAAATTCCATATTAAAGAGAGTTCACTCATATTTTATGTTCCCTTGACTGATTATTTGTGTTCCTTTGTTGTATCTCATCTTCATCACATGAATGAAAGGATATCTTTCTTTGTGGTACTGTTGAATAATCTTTCTTCTAATGATGCCACATTTGGTTCCCGTATATTTTCTTACGCTGTCAATGTGAAGGATATGAGCATGCAAGGAAGAGGATGTCCATCTTCTTCTGGCCATGGATTCCTGCATCTCTGGCATACCTGCTTCCTCCTATTGGCCATTCTTTCCAATGTAGATGCTGAATGGTATCAATTTTTATTTATTTATTGCTGACATATATTGCCAGTTTCTTCCAGGTAAGGGACAAGCATGAGATTCTTGCTCAGACATCTCAGTCGCCCTTGTTTGGGGCTCCTGCGACGCCTGAGCACCGAAGCTGTGCCCAAGAAGCCTCACGTCAACGTTGGGACCATCGGTGAGATAATCCCGCCGTATACCAACAAAAGTCACCAATATATATGAGGACTTGATGGAAATAATGCTGTGATCAGGGCACGTGGACCATGGAAAGACGACTCTGACGGCAGCCATCACGAGAGTGCTGGAAAAGGCAGGACTCGCCGAGTTCCGCTCCTACGACAGCATCGATCGAGCGCCTGAGGAAAAGGCTCGAGGGATCACGATCAACGCCTCGCACATCGGCTACAGCACTCAGAAGCGGGAATACGCGCACGTCGACTGTCCCGGACATGCTGACTTCATCAAGAACATGATCTCTGGTGCATCTCAGATGGATGGTGCCATCGTGGTCGTGGCTGCCACCGATGGCATGATGCCACAGACTCGGGAACATCTCCTCCTGGCGAAACAAGTTGGAATCCGAAAGGTTCATTTCCCCATCTTTTTGTGGAAAGAGTTATGTGGTTGCTCAGACGTTCAGTATAATTCATTCAAGATCAACCTAGACTTCATTAACTGATGCTTGTAGAGGATGTTTAAAAAAATATATTTTAGCCATATCATTTTAGCAATGTCATAGCCCGTAGGTCCGTCCTTTTAAAATATGAAATGAATTTACCAAACCACCAGCCGGGTTTCCAAAAGCCAGAGTTGCAAGCAGCATTGTTGTTTAGCAATTCTCATGGATGGGTTCTTCTTTACTTTTAGCCCTTTCCTCTTCAGTTGCTTTCTCCACCTCTCCTATGCTATGGCGGTGAATGCGCATAAATTAAGGTGAGCTAATCTGAAGAGAATGCATTCATTCATGCCAACCTTGACTGGAGGAATTTATACTGGGACAATGCTGGGAACAGGCAAGGAGGGAGTGTCCGCGAGGGACTTATAGTTGTATGCCTAATCATTGGAATGGAAAACGTGTTACATATGCTTGCGCACTTGCAGGGAACCCTGCCACCGGTCCAGAAACTATTTGTGATATAAGAATTTGCGTCTGTATTGGGGACACTGCCTTTGATGAGGCCCTCTTCCTCTCTGCACTTTTCCCCCTGATTATCTATCTTGTAGGATCACCAATACCCAGCAGCAGTGCAACAGTCCAAAAGCTGACAAAAAGTACCCATAATGAGGGTTCCCCCCCGCGTAGCGTGAAGCGCTTCGGGTTGACACGCTTCCCCTCCATGGATTAGGCTACACCTGTATCCTCTCTCTCTCTCTCGTAATCCCAGCCACTCCTGTAAGACCTCGAGCAGCTCCCCCAAAGTCAGCATGAATGAATGCCCGTTTCCTTCAACTTAGTTCTGCCTTCATTATTGCCTGCTCAACGCGCTTCATGAGGGATGGAGAAGGCAGCTGGGGAAATGAGAAGCCTGAAATTTTCATCCTTGAGAATGGAGTGAAAGAGGAGTGGCCATCATTTCCATGCTTCCCTGTGAGTGAAGGTAAAAATGCATCGAGTCCACCTGCACCTATTTCATGCATTGGGAACATCGGGAGAATTTTTTTCCTCCCCCCCCCCCCCCCCCCCCCCTCCTCACCCTACCCTACCCTCTCCCGGATGTGAGGAACTAAAAGCCGTGCCGCTTGCAGCGCCGGCTGGCCTGCCTGATCTCTTGCGGATAACCCTGACCCAATGCAAGTCACTGTACAATGACGACTTTGGATCACTTCAGGTGATCGTGTACGTGAACAAAGCAGACCTGGTGGACGCAGATACATTAGAACTGGTCGAGATAGAGATGAGGGAGCTGTTGTCGGAGATGGGATTTGACGGCCTGGAGACTCCCTTCGTGTACGGTTCTGCTCTCCTTGCCCTCAAGGGAGACCAGAGCGACATCGGAGAGCCGAGCATCAACAGACTCCTCGATGTCCTCGATTCCTACGTCACCGAACCCGAGAGGGACAGGGAAGCTCCGTTCTTACTGCCGATCGACAACGGATTCACGGCATCCGGCAGGGGAACCGTGCTGATCGGGACGCTGCGCCGAGGCATCATTCGCCGCAATGCCGACTGCCATCTCCTCGGCTTCGACTTCAAGGCCAAGACATCCGTCTCCGACATACACGTGTTCAAGAAGTCCGTACCGCAGGCCACGGCCGGTCAGAACGTCGGCGTCTTGGTGAGGAACGTTCAGCTGGGAAACGTGGAACGGGGAATGGTGTTGTGTGCGTTGAACTCCTTGACGCTGGGGAACCGCTTCCGTGCCCAGATGTACGTGTTGAGTCGTGCCGAAGGAGGGCGCAGTGCCCCCATTCTCTCGAAATACATCCAGCAGCTCTTCAGCGAAACGTGGAACATCGCGTGCCGGGTGGATCTCCTGCCGGGCGCCGAAATGATCATGCCGGGGGAGCACGCTTCGGTGGACGTGGTGCTCCTGAGGAAGATGGTGCTGATCCCGGGTCAGTCCTTCACCGTGCGGGAGAACCAACTCACTGTCGCTACTGGGATCATCACGGAACTCTTGCCCAGTGTCGAAGTGCCGAAGTTGAACCTCATGAAAGTTCCAGTTTGAAATAAAGAGCCCCATTCGTCTCGTGCATGCCAGTGTGCGCCAAAAAGCAGCTTCCTCTCTTATAATTTTGACAGAATAAGGAGGGCAGTCTGGTGATCGGATTTGCCTAATCCAGTCCTGTCTGGATTCGTCCTTGCATTCCAGTGACGGCTTTATTGTGAGCCATAGCGTTTTTTAAATACAGCCAGTATAACCTAAGTCACATTCTTCTCCATGCTGTGTTTCGCCAATACATTCCCCAATGTATGGCAGGGTTGGGGAAAAACCTGAGCCATTGGGTTTTACAGTCATTTTTGGTGGAACATCTCAAGTCATTCAGCAATGACTCAGAATACTTTAAGAATAAGTTCTGTTTTGACCATGAGGAATAGAGAATGGAACTGCTATAATATTGTGATGGATAAGGATGGCATCGAGAGGCTCGACTGAATGTCCGGGGTTCGGTGGTGTAGTGGTAGCACACCTAACCGGCAATCAGGAGGCCCGGGTTCAATTCCCGGCCGTTCCTTGGGTTCTTTCGACCTCTCATGCCGTCCGACTCCCGAAGTTCCCCTCCGTAACAATATTCCAGACTGGAAAAGGTTTCTGCTTGTGAGTAAAATCTTATCTCAAATAGAGCAAGTAAGAATATTATGCCAATGGCCAAAAATATCTCTGAAATGACTCAAGTTTCTTTCCTCATGTTGAGCCACCATTAAAACATTTTACCATACCTGATCAGGGTTTGCTATCATCTCCAATATAAAATGGAACTAGACTTGTGTGCTCAGAACTGTCAGAAACAGCAATAGCCGAGTGCATATGAATGCACCGAAGAACTTTATTACCCCCATTTCTTCTTTTTGATTTATGCTGCTTTGTATTTCTGTATAGAAGCAGTCATGTAGCAATTTTTGTGGGTTCTTTAAATTTGATTTTAATTAAGAGTTGGGAGACTGAAGTCACCCCTTCTCTGATATCCAGTCTCCTTTTTTAAAAAATCAACATGAAACAAGAAGAAAGGAAGCATTCATATCATGTACACCTCGCCTCCATCGACTCTTAAAGTAATATCAAGGCGTCTGAAACGACAGCTAGCGCAAATACGTATATTTCACGTACAAAATGGCATAAAATTATTTCCCCCCCCCCCCACCCCCGTAGATTGTTAGGAAGAAAAGAAAAGATGATAAGCAGAAAGTTTTATACCAGCAGAAAGTGCGATTTTCTCTCATTCTTATAACAGCAATAATCGCGTGATCATTAGCAACTCTGTCGACACTTTCAGAAAGAGGGTAGCGTCCAAGTAATGGAACATACGTTGGACAAATCGTTTGCTTCCTTTCGCCAAGTAAAAATGCCCTGCCATCGAACACCGCGAGAACTACAACTCGAGTGACTATTTTGAACTAGAATATCTTTCCCATGCGTCTTATTGTCTGGAAAGGCCACGTGCCAACCAGGATTTTCGAAAATTGCTTACTGTTGGTGCTGTTTCATATTTAATTAAAGTATAAATGGAGAAGTTTTATTCAATAGTTTTGTAAATGACTTGACTAAGGAGCTTTTATTTTATAATCATGTATTTATTGCTCTACGACCGGCTCGGGTCCCCCATGAAACTGAGTCCGAAGTTAATGCGACACGAGTCGCTTGAAGTTTGAGAAAGAGCTTCGCTGCACGTGCAGCAACGTGATCGTTATCGGTAAGAGTGAGGAGCCGAACGATGCATTTTTACTGTGCCTATGCCCTGTGCCTATATCCAGTGATATGAGTAGAGGCAAAGATGCCTAAGAAGTGGGTCGGAGAGAACAGCAAGGCCGCGGTGGCCAAGGCGAGGAAGGAGGCGACGAGGCAGGAGGAATTGCAGCGGAAGAAGCAGGCGGAGGAGGACGCCCTCTGGGAGGACGACGACAAGAACGCCCAGCGTAAGCAGCAGCGCAAGGAAGAGCGCGAGAAGAAGCGCCTGGAGCAACTAGAGAAGAAGACTCAGGCGAAGGCGATGCTCGAAGAGGAAGTCGCTTCCATCGACACTCGACCCACTTCAGCCGTCAAGCTCTCCCGGGCTCAGATCCAGGTACGTCATGCAGCCTCACGACCGGATCCGGGTATCCAACGAGGAATGGACATCTCTCATCCTCTCTCCTTGATGATAGGCCATGCAAGAGGAGCAGAGGAAGAAGGAGGAAGGGCATAAAAAAGTCGTGACCCACTTGGATACCCCGATAGAAGAGAACTTGAATCTACTTAGCACGGGAGAATCAGCTCGCACAGTCGATGAAGCTATCACCATTCTCAGGTCCTTTCCTAACCTGTCTCTTAGTCTCATAAGGATGAGTCCCTTTACTGATCGTTCCATGCCCCATAAAAATGAACAGAAGTTACCGTCTGTCATCTGAGAAACTGCTATGTGGGATGACGCAAATGCTAGTCCACTGCTTCAATTTCGATTAAGTTTAAGTTGAATAGGCCTAGATATGAATAGGACGCGTTATTGTAGCAATTGGAGCTGCTCTCATGTCAGATGAAATAGGAAATGCTGTGAGACTTGAGCAGACATGTTCTGCAGCAGGTGAAAATGAGTTTCTCTTATTATTAATCGAATGCCTATGCGAACGATTGTCAGAGATTGAAGTCGGGCGGTTGGTGAGTGGGGCCAGGGCATGCTTGTTCAACCATGTGATGGCATCAGCACCAGCGGCGTGCAGAGTGCGTAGGCCACCACGGAGGAAAGTTATTTTGCAGTCATCTACTATATGCGTCATTGTTTGGGGCTTGACGCACGCGCACAGTGGGCTATCGAGCAGTCCCCATCGGTAGTCCTTAGCCTCACGATGCCCATGTCCGCACAACCAGTCCGAAAGCGATTTAGAAGGGTCCACGGTTTCCTTGGAAGGCGGAAGCCTGGTGGTTCGACGGAAGGGCCGTCAACTATCTGGTGATTAGTCACCGTCGACTTGGACCACTCCTCGCGCCAGCGCGAGCACTGGCACAGCTTCGCCTGTTGGTAAGATGGCCCAGAGTGGGCGCCGGGATGGGAGGCGGTGGGCTGGTGGTGGGGAGTTTCCTCTCGAGTTGGTTTAACGTGCATAGGTTCAGAAACGAAGGTGGGATGATGAAAGTAATCTTGTCTATAGTACATCTGTTTGTGTAAATGTAGCCTTGGGCAGTCTTATTGCGTGTATCTTTCAATTCTGTTAGATCATTCATCAAGTTCACATACTTTCGTAAAGACCTTTCATTTCTGTGCATGCTCTAAGCTTATGCAACTCATCGGTCTCCGCGACACCCATCACTGCGCATGCACGATCGAATGGGACAAAGGAACGCATTGTTTACAGCGGGAAGGAGGAGGAGGCAGGGGATCGGCACCCGGAGCGGCGGATGAAGGCCGCCTTTGCCGCCTACGAGGAGAAGAACCTCCCGAGACTGAAGGCGGAGAATCCCAACATGCGTCTGTCGCAGCTGAAGCAGTTGCTGAAGAAGGACTGGCTCAAGTCCCCCGAGAACCCCATGAATCAGATGCGCATGGCTTATAATGCCAAGCCCTGAGGCATATATCACGTGGGGTGGGTGTCTGTTCGTTCGCATTCGTCGAAGCGGTCTGCTTCCAGTCTTTCTCTTGTGGTTCCCTGATTTGACCTTGATCTAACCGCCGTTGTCGGTGACCGAGTTCGAAGATGTAAGAAAAGTATGCGGATAAATCTTTTGTTCGTACGGACATTTTCATGCTGTATTCGGCTCATCTTCACGCTGTAATCATCACGCCCCACGGGAAAACGAGGACGAGAGAGACGAGGGCTTTTGTCCACGGAAGCCTCTTAGCTGGAATTTTTGAGCAGGGATGCGACCCCTTTCATGCAAGTCGGACTTAACAAGAGATCCGAGAGGCTTTCTGACGCTCTCATGCGAGCAGAATCGCTTCTCGGAGATGCCACAATCTGCTTTTCATCGCCTCATGATGAGTATCTTTTCGCATTTTAAAATAATCAGTGTATTTTTTTCGCAGAGTGATTTCACAGGCCGAAATCTTATTCCCATGGTTTCTGGAGGCACAATCCCACGTGGTTCTTTACGTTTTTCTTTGCGACTTGCTGATAGAGTAGAGAGGAACTTTCCTCCGACAAATAAGGAAAAGTCGCCGGTAGATTTGATAGGTTTGTTCTTGAAGTATCTTGTGAATATTATTATTGTTGCATCCTTGTGCAGTAAATGACTCAAGTGCTATGGACACCATACATATCATTTACGCCTACAGTCCATTCAGTAAAAGAGGGTTTCACGTTATTCACGGGTGAATTTCCCCTGTGAAGTGGAATGATCCCGCCAGGTGCGCTGCCCGTCCCGCCATCTTCGAACGTCTGAGTTGGAAAAATGTATGATGCATTTCTTCACTTTCATCGACATCGCATGTGCGATGGAATGTACACCTCCATTCTTATCTTCACAATCTGGTTTTAGTTCGGTTTTATTTCAGTTAGTCATCCCTCTGTTTTAGCCCCGTCGCACTGGAGTAGTAGTTCAAGTTTGGACTCGGTTCATATCCTTCTGTCAGGTCTAAGGGGTTCGTCACGCACCATAGGCTAATGTATCATTTTTTTTTTACAGACCGTGTACTTAGTGAAGACGAACGTATAATATCGAGATAATTTTACATGTATGCATGACCACTACATTGAACACATTTTGTGAATTCCATAGATTGATATTCCCTATGGTGCGCGACTTATGGGACCTGTACTTTGAGAAGGGTTTGCGAATCGTATCCGTCTGACCAACTTGATGGGTACGGTAGTGAATGGAACTATCGGCAAACGAGGTTATCGGGGTACCATCTGGGCGAATCTATAGATTTTGCAGAACTGAAAGCGTGCTTTTAAAATTCAGTTTCTGCGTCAATGAGACCAGTTACGGGGGTGGAGTGGAGACCAACCCATTCCGGCATTACTATTCCATACATATGCGGAGGGAAGCTGGGGAAGTGGGGCTTCCTCCATTACCCTCAATTTTAGCCAAATCCTTTTGTGGACGAAGACATGAAGGAGAGAAGGGTGAGGTCCGCCATAAAAAAAAACTGAAGTGGCCGGACCTATGTCAGGGGTTACATCGCTGTTGTAAACTGGGGAAATGTATTAATTGAATTCTTATGAATGACGCTGTTCGTCTTCCTTGCTTGTACCTTTGTTTTTGCCGAGTCCCCCCCCCCCCCCTCTTCTGGCGCTGCAGCTCGTTTCTTTTTTTTTTTTTTGACCGAACAACCAACAACGATGAGCGCAGAAGCAGAAGCTCAGTCCAGAACCAAACTTAGGATGACATGCACCGGATCCGTTTAAGCTAAACTAATCTGATCTCAAAATGGTCCCCTATGGGAATCAGTTTAACAGAGATAAACTTTTTCCCATAGACGCTCATGATGAAAACGAATCAGTTTAAAGTTAAACAAATCTGGTGCATGTCACCCTTACATGCCGATGCAAGGTGGCAAAGTGTGCCACTTGCCACTAGATTTAACAAGTGCGGTTCCGATCATAATGGAATACCGGTGGAAGCGAAGCTGTCGCGCGAAAGGACGCAGGAGGATATGAATCCGCTCGTGGCACAAGCGAAGAAATTGCGACGTGACTCTAGGAAGCACCTGTAGGAGCCAGGAGCAAAAAAATAGGTCGCGTGAAATAGCAGGTGGTGAAGGAAGAATAAAGAAAAGGCTTTGCGTGTTGTCCCTATTAGTGCTTGCTTGACAAAAGGACGGAAAAACCCAGTGTTATGCTTGGCACAGCGGTGCGGCCAACCCTCTTCTGATGGAGCTTGTGACGAAGGGTTCACTTCGCTGAAGGAAATGTGTTTTTTGGAGGTCTTAGATCTTTCCAAAAACACTTCTCCCCCTTGTTTACAATTTATTCCGGAATGACTTGGTTCTTGTAGCTTCCACCAGAATAGCTCATTTTGGTCTCATTGACTCAGTGAATGGTTGTTAATTGAAGGGCTGAAGGAAAACTAGTCTGTACATTATTAAGCGAAGGAAATGTGGCGTGTGATGCATAAATCCCACCTACGACCTCGATGAAGAGAAAAACGGGCCATCTGCATCGGACGAAATTTTACTTTCTCGGACATGCTTTGGAAATTAGACCAATTTTCCTTTCAGCCCTTTAATTTGGAAACGGTCATTGAGCCGTGAAGGCAAAGCCATAAGAAAGGACGTCTGTCAGTCGGCCCGAGGGAGAAGGGAAAGGAAATGGGGACACACCTTGCGTTTTTCGACACGTACAGTGCGCTTATGAATAGATGCTAACTACGGAATATTTTCCTCGGCCCTGCGTCTTCGCGGTCGTCATTCGGTCGGTACTCGCCGCTCGGAAAGGGTGGTTCGTCGCGAGTATCCCGCACGTTGCGTTCCATACACCTTTCCATTTAGTACTGGTGAGCAAGAGAAGTCTTCGTTCGACCTCTGCGCTGGAGCAATTCACATCGGTGAGGGTCTTTCCTTAGAATTTGGATGGTAGGAACGGCATGATGTGGCTTTATCAACTTTAGGGATACATGCCCCAAGCCCCAACCCCCCCCCCCCACCC